CACATTTAACAAAAAATTTACTGGGTAGGGGGAATAAATACCTAAGTACCTTCATTAACTACATACAAATAAATTATTAAAACTCTAATTAACTTAATATAATATAACGTTTTTATTTTCAAATTAATAAATAACGTTTATTATTTTACTTTCTAATTCATCCTCCTTCATTTTGGTCAGTTAATTTTTGCATATCAGTATTTTTACTGATAATGTTTAGGAAATGCTGTTAATTTGGTAATTTAATAATGAAACTGACTCCTTAAAATAATGCAAAAAAGGTGGTAGATATATGTATAAAAACTGTAAGATCAGTAAAACAATTGTTTGGGTTTTACTAAGGAGAGGCTCTATCATATAAGCATTATCTGAGCCCAAAATCTTTCAATTGAATAAAGTTATGCCAAAAATAAGGTGTGAAGTTACTTTTGGATCACCCTGTACAAGTTTAAGCCATGTAAATAGATGCTGATCAATGCCTGCCCGGTCCTAAACACTAATATGTTTTTGCTGCATCCCTCTAAGTAATCAAACTTATTATAAATTAACTCTTTGAATAAATCTATTTTTCAATCTACATTTGACCATGGCTTAGAACCGAATGTATTATAGTGTACGTAAAACAGTTCAGTTTTGCTATTGCAAAAGATTAATATTGCAACACACTGATAAGACACTGTTTTTGTTAAAAGATTAACTATCCTCAATTTTTTAATTTTAAACAAAAAATCTGATTTATTCAAAATATTACCATCTTTTTGTATTTTGTTCCCTCAACAATATTTTCAAAATTTGACTTGTTTTTATATTGTTTGTTTGATAATTTTTGTATTTTATCAAGTCCTAAAATGCAAGAGTTATTTTATGAAATATCTTTTAAATATTATCTTTTAAATATGACTAAAATCCGAATTATGCAGAAGTTTTCGCAGAGAACAGTTTCGTCAGAGATCGATCTCGTCAGAAGGCAGTGCCGTCAGTAAGGCTCCATTTTTAAAAATCTGATTAAACAACTGGTTTTGACTTATACTAGATTTTTTGTCTTGATCGATCTGAACAAATGAGGTGTCATTCGAAAGAGCTTATAAAAGCTGATTTTTGGGATGAAAAATTCTATTTCATAAATGTTATTTAACTTAAAAAAGCCATTTTGACGTAAATTAGATTATGTAAGATCCTTAGATGTACGAGATTACTAAAATACCTTTTAACATTACGTCTACAATAATTTTTAAATTTGATTTTGTAATTTTATAAGTGACTGATTGTTCAGGATATGTTGGGCTATAAATATTAATTCCTTCTTGTTTTTGAAGATTTTGGACATTTTTTGTTTTATTTATAATTCTTAAAGGAGCTTGCCAATTCCTATAATTTAAATCCTTATAGACTTATGGAAATATAATAACCATGTAGCAAAAGTTAAAAAGAAACGCTCCAGCAATTCAAAGAAATTAGCCCCTGGATATAATAGAAACACTTTTGTTAACATTAACGAAATTGAATTTCCATCGAGAAAGCCAAATTGACTGTTGTAGACACAGTAATCTAAATAATATGAAATATCTAATTTTCATAAAATTAAAAGTCTCAAGCAAATATTTATAGAACTTTCAGCAGTTGCTATGTGGATTTTTATTTTTGTATGTTAGTGCAGTGCACTGACAAATAATAAATTTAATTTTAAATTTTTAAAGGGGCCATAAGTGATTAAATCCTTTTCACACTTCCGCCTACTTCCGATTTTCTGGCCTTCGTTTTTGTCATCAGTTCTTTAGAAATCGGCAGATGCCATCCCAACCCCATAATACATTCAAATCACCATTCATCACTAGACGGGGGTTTAAAGTAGATACGTCGAGTACCGAATAATTGGGGAAAAACTGAGTTCGAGTAATACCGAGTTTGAAAACCCCGAGTTCGAATATGAATTAACTTTTTAGGCCGAGTTTGAGTCCCTAGTTTAAAGTTTTTTTTGAACGTGTCCTAGGCTTTTGTAAGCGAACTTAGAATATTAAACCTTTTGCCCAATTTTTTAAAGCAATGAATGTTTGATTGAAAATTTCTCTTTCTCTTTCAGTCTTTTCATTAATTAATTTCTCCAAATATTCATAGCTTTTGAATACTGCATGATTATAAAATTTAATTGAAGAATTTTGTTGTTCTTCATTTTCTTTGCTCAAATTATTTGAAAATTTCCTCATTAATGGTTCAATCCAGGCGGAATCCTGTGGAACTATACGAGTATCTGGCTTGTGAACAAAAGTAATGTCAAATTCAGTTGTCGCTATTTCAAAATTGAAAAATTCATCAGTTGAGGTTGAGCGACGTAAATTGTTTACGAATCTGCTTTTCTTAAAAATTTTATTTTTTGCTAATCAGTAATTCCCGACCCAGAAAGCGTCGGGAATTCCATGAATCGGGAATAGTGTCGGTGTAATCCCTGTTATAAGGCAAAAAGTTTAAAGCTTATTTTACTTTTTTGAATTACCCTTAAGCTTCTGTTATTTTACTTTGGACAATTTAAATATAGTGGAATATTTCCGATATAAAAATTGAATAGTCATCCGAGGGCAGGCCGAAGCTTGCGGACCGACTTTTGCGGACCGAAACTTGCGGACCCGACGAATTTCTCAAAACATAGCTCATTCGAAAGAGCTCGACGAGCTGAGTCGAATGACATCAAAATCATCGTGATTGTACAAGCTTGGACAAAGTTACGATAGAAAAACAAAAACCTAAATCTATGGTCTGCAAAAGTCTGTACGCAAGTTTCGCACTACCCATTTGAGGTAGCAAGTGAATCGCAAATCGAGGGCTTATTTAATACCACAACTGTGTACATTTACCCAAAATTTTCCCAACCTTGCAAAGATAGCAGAAAAGCGAATTATTCGAACAATTGTACATAAATGGAGGTCTACAAAATGTTTTTGCTTCTCCATTAAATATTTGTTTAGCTTTGATTTTTTCTTCTTCCTCTCCTTTTCCTGTCCCCACAGCAACTACAATTGCTTGTATATGTCCTCCTATTTTCTTGTATGGACTGGCCATTAATAATCCAAAATTGTTATTTTTTGTTAAATTTATCCATTTATCGAAGAGTGCTTGGAAAAATTCCTTTGGATTTTTAACATCTATTTTATTAGAAAATACATTGTTTATCATTGTTTTGGCATCATATTCCTCATTTAACAATCCCATAGGATCGATAAGTTCAAATCCGAGATGTTTATATGATTCAGTGTTTGTTCCTTCTTTAGCTTCCGTTAAACTCTCGTTAAGTGATAAAGGTAGAAAACCTTCTGGATTTAAATAATCATCACTGCTTGATTGAATATCTGAATAATTATTAACAGAACTTTGATTTTATTAAGTATTAGGTAAGAAGGAACACAAATATGAGATAAAGCATGTTGCGAAAAAGGATGTGGCGAAACTATTATTAACACAAAAAAAACGGAATCATAATTAGCCGAACTACGGAGGCCCATTCACGATCATAGGGCATATTTCAATTGAATATTTTGCCTGTATTTACGTTTTGTAGGATAATTTTATTGCCAAAATATCAATTTTTTCTTTATTTTATTTATACATATTGTTAAATATTTCAGTAATTAATCTAAGGCTCTTACTTTTATATTCCTATTTGTATTTTTTGGAAGCCAAACTCTTGATTTGGCTAAAATCGTGTCGTGATTATATGTTTGTTAACCGCCGTTGTTATTGCCACCATCTACAATAACAACACATGCTCCAGGGCTGGGCAAAATCAAAAAATAAAGAGCGGAATGCGAAACTTTTTGCGCTGAAAAATGTGAAAAATGCGAAAGATGCGAAACTAGATTTTCTGTAAATCATCCAGCCCTGCCATGAACCCTTTAAAAATAACCCCGTATGGCTGAACATTTTCGCTCTAACATAATTTTTACCTAATTTAATTTGTTCTTTCATTTTAATTAACTCATTAATTCTTTCTTCCGCTTTAGCCACCCATTCATTAATCTCTTGTTTCTCTTTTAAATTCAACATTTCCTGAACGAAATTTCTCTGAGTTCTGGTTAATTTCCCATCCATATTTTGTTCTTTTGAATAAATAAAATATTCACAAATTTTATAAAAATACAATTTTTCTTTCATTTTATCACCCAAATCTTTCTCAAGAATTTCATTTCTTTCAGATATAGGTAACAAATTAATTAATAAAATATTTAATTCTTCTTCAATTTCATTTTCATTAATATCCTTCAAAGATTTTTCTATAATTTCATTCCAATGCTTTTGCATTTCCAAAAATTCTTCCTCCTCAAAATAAACATCAAAAACCAATTTATTTTTTAATTTTAGCTTCTCAAAAAATTCAAAACGCTTTCCAATCTCATTTACAAAAATACAAATATTTAATAATTTCCTTCCAATTTGAGTTTTTCCTTTATTAAATTTATTAAAAATTTCAAACAAATTTTTATCTTCAATAAAATATTTAACTTTAATTTCATCTTCATTAACATCTTTAATTTCAACAATTTGTGAAGATGCAGATTTTATCTGCTTGTTGTCTTCTACCTAAATGGTAATAATTTTGTTTTCTTAATTACAGAACTTATTTAATCGTGGGTAAAAAATGTGTGATATCCTCCAGTACTTTTCCCTTTAATCTATCTATATCATGCCCAATTGACATATATCCTACTCTTAATCCCCTATAACCCTACTAATCCTCCTTATCCGTTTTAATCCTCAAAAACATTTTTGATTAATGATATCATTTCTAACTTCCTCGATACCCCCTTTATCCCTTAATTTCTTTAAATCTCCCTTATCTTATAAACCACAAATTTGACACTGCGGAATAAAGTTTATTCCGCAGTTCTGTTAGTCCCGATCAGTATTGTTTCTCGGTATCGGGTTCTTGAGTATCAGTCAATCTCGGTCTCGGGTTGGCCGATACCAGTATCGTTTTTTCCAACTTTAGAATAAACTAATGTTTAACGTCTATGCTAAAATCAAAATTTGTTACTTTTCCAGAATTAGAATCAATTGATGATACTGGATTTGAATCAATTTTTATAGTTTTTTCACGTTTTGGCTTATTATCTTTTTTATTATTCGTTTTGCACTTCTCATTGACATCATTTTTTATCTCTAATTTTTTCTTCAAATCTTCTTTTTTCATTTCAATTTCAATTTGCTTCTTTACTTCTTCCACCTTTTTAATTATTTTCCTATCAATTTTATCTTTTAACTTCATCTCTTTTTTCCTATCTTGATTTTTATTATTTTTTATTAAATTCATTATTTCTTCAATATTTTCATCGTTAATAAAATTTTTAATATTTTTTTCTATCTCTTCAGACGTAATTCTTGCATAAATTTCTTAAGAATATATTTTTATTAAAAGTTGTTTTTTTGAATATTTAATTAATTTGGATTGCTTTTTAAATTAGAGTTAAGGATCTCGGCATCCGGATCATTAAAATTTCGGATATTCGGATTTTAAATGAATCCACTATTGCAAACGAACCGCTTTGGTCTAAAGAACCTCACTTTGTTAAATTTTGCCTTCCGTATCTGGTCATGTAAAATTTATGTTTATTGAATCAGTATATCCGAGGATTTTTGTGATACGCCTATCCTGCATCACTTTTAATAAGCTCATGGATCTTTATTGGATTATAACTTTAGATCGTACAAAGGGATGACGTTAAAGATCTTGGTTTTTGTTGTGGATCATACCAAAGATTTAATAAAGGTTCTGCCCGTCCGGGAAATAAAGGTGCCTGTCAAGGACACGGAAGAAAAGCCGGAATAAATTGAACTTGAGAGAAGAAACACGAGAAAGAAGAAAAGATGGTATTGAGATATTATCGGTCAATTTTTTACATTAATAATTTCAATATATAATGTTTTATGCTTTTCCCAGCTTTTAACTTTTACACTTCTATATAAATATTTTCAAATAAAAGAAAACTTTTCTTCTTTAAAATAAATAAAAATTATTTTATAATAGTTAATAATAGAATAAGGTAGAGGTTTAAATCGCCCAGTTCACGGCCCTTTTAAATCTTTAAATTATTAAGATTAATTTGGTGATATATAGACTTATTGTTCATCTTTCAATAGTTTTCATAAATTTTCAAGTATCCGAAATTTTAAAGTATACCTTATAATTATTACATTTTAAAGTATACCTTATAATTATTACATTATTTTCTTACTTCCTTTCCTTCTTTAATTATTAATTATAGCATTACCTTTTTTAATGTGCACTTGATAAAAATTTTTATATTCGTTTAATAATTTTTTTAGTGTATTATAATTTTCAGTTTTGATCCATTTAATAAATGCATATGATGTCTGATTTATTTTATTTTCTCTCCCGAGAAGATCGTTCCATTCATTGCAGCATTTTTTAAATTCGATATTTTCATCATTTATCTAAATATAAGCACAATATACATTCGATCGCGATATAACGAACGCCAATGAACACCAAAAAAATTTTGTTATATCAAATGTTTGCTAAATTTAGAGTATTTTCTTGATTACTCTTAGTCAGTGAACGGTGAAAGGCTGTTATTTCAAAAGCAGAAAATTATTGTCCTAGTTGTCCATGTCTGCGATTCGTACTATTTTGAAGTAAAGCGGACCCTTTGGTCAAAAAATTAAAACTTTTATTTGCAATTAACATTTACGCGATCGCAGCCCTATCTTATTCTATAAATCTTAAAATTTTTTTAAATATTTTTGGAATTAAAAAAAAAACAAATTTACACTATCGTCCTCGTCAATGTTTCCTTCGATCCATAATTTTACTTCTTCCATCATACTTTTAATTTGAATAGTTTCATTTTCTATATTATTAATATTTAATAGGTAAATTCCATCGAAAATTAAATTTAAAACAAATTTTTCCGCATTCCAAAATTTAATTATCAAATTCTTTTTATCCAAACTTTTCCATTTTCCTTTCTCAACAGGAAACAACTCGTTATTTACATATCTGTACCAAACAATAAAATCTGCCAATAGATTAGCTCGTTTAGACGGCAATGTAGCTCTCGACATTAAAGCCATTACATAATAATTAATTAATTCTCTGTCGTCAAAGAATACTATAAATTGATAATTTATTTAAAGATATTTTAAGAATTTTAATTTATTTAATTTATTTTTATTATTCTTAGTTGATTTTATAAGAAATCTCGGTCTTATTTCAATAATCTATCTGATAAAAATCTAAATGTCTATTATTAGTATCTAAACACTTATAACCAGAACGAGTTTTTATGAACAAAAAACCTGATAATAGGTACCTAAAACGTTCGAAAAAAGGTTTAAATAGTTGGAAAAAATTATCTGACAACCCATTATTATCAAAAATATCACAAAATATTGTCCATCCAGAATTTAATAAGCTTCCTAAAACTTGCTTACCATGATCGTTAAGCAAATCATATTTTTCTAAAAACGAGCGTTTAGGTGCCGCTTCGCGGCACCTAAACGCTCGTACATTAGTTTTTAATTAAAAAAACCAGAATTAAATTTCTTGGTTTTATTTTTTAAGAAGTCAGATTTATAAGGAAATGAAACGAAATCACACAAAATAAAGAAACATGCGCATATCAAACATAGGATTTGAGGAAAGAGAGATATCTGGAAAACTTATACATAAATCTGAATGCATATGCCCCTAAATTATTTCGCACTTGTTCAAACCAAATTTAATATTTGTGGGATATCAGGGATTTTGATTGTGTTAGGGGAATTTGGAGGGATTAAATAGTATCAGAGTAGCGTTTGCAAAAACTCCATTTATTTTCTTTTTTTTCGTTGCAAGGCGTTTTGGCACCAATTATAGCCTATTTTTAGTTTTTAAGAATTTGGAAAATTGCTGTTTTAGGACTTCGGGGCCAAAAAATGCGAGCTTAAAAAGCAGAAGTAAAACTTATAGCTATCAAAAAAATTTTTGCAATTTAAATTGTTTTGTCTTGTTTTTCTAAATTTAAATTAAGAGTTGTGTTTCTTTCGATACTGAAACGTTTTTAAAAAATTTTAAGTTTTGTTTCGTCCAAAAAAATTTTTACAGTGCATGTCTGAACTTGGTTTCACTCATTGAAATTTATCCCCTCAAATCCGCCCATATCTCACCTATGCCGTCTAGATCCTACATACAATCCACAGAGCACATAATTTCCTTTTGAATTTTCCAAACACACATTATCCAATTAATACATGTTATCTTGCTAAACTATTAAGACAAATTTGCGATTTGCTTTCGATATTTTTACAAATTTTCGATAAATAAAAAACGATTTGCTTTGTTGATATAGGGTACGAAGGGCAACGTTTTTAGTAAATCATGCACTAAAGATAAATAAAATTCTCAATGCCGCTAGAGAGAACATCAAATATTTGATCATTTTTTTTGATTTTGCACAAATACTTGTTTGATGATGTATTAGATCAAATAATTTGGAAATTATTAGATTTTCCAAAAATACATTTTTTGGTTAGAAAATGGTGAAGAGCTATTTAACACCATTTTTTTCAAATTTTGCCGCTGGTGCTAAAAGTTATTTTTAATCAATTATTTGTATAGCGTCTTTAAATTAAGAATCTTTTCACAGTACTAACTACGGGTTTTTTAAGCATTTATCGAATATAACTTTAAGTTTGTATTTTGGTTTGTTTGGATTTTGTGGTGTTTTTTTTTATTATTTGGAGATTAAAAGTGATATCTGGGGGTTGTATGGGAATTGCGTGGGTTATATGGGAATTAAGATAGATATATGGGGATTTGTAGGGATAACAGTAGTTTAAAGGTGATATATGGTGGTATGGATTCGGAGGAAAATCGGGGGTTTAAATGGGGTTCGGCGGATTTGAATGGATTCCGATGATTTCGCACGGATTTCGGTAGTTTTGCATGAACATTATTTTTGGACGATAACTGTCGATTAAAGATTAAAGAATAAGAATTCACATTGTTTTCGCTTGCGGTCCTCAAAATGTACAAATCTGGCTTTTTGCTTCCAAAATGCTCAATTTCCACCTGCGACGCATTAAAGTACAAAATCTGCTGCCTGATCTCCTAAAATTTTAAAGTGCAACTGCTTAAAGTGCGGCTGTTTGAAGTAATATATTAAGTTGATTAAAGAAGGAACCTTACAAATCTCTTGTTATCTACCATTATTTGCTTCAAATCCATAATCTCCATACTTAACCCTCAAAATTACTTTCATCCTTTTAAACATCCTTGCATCCTTTTTACCCTTAATACCTCTAAAGCTACTCTTATCTTCACGGAAACATTTATTCCCTTCAAATCCACTTGATCTCTGCAAAATCACTTATATTCCCAGATATACCCATTAGTCACTCCAAATCCCCATTAATTCCTGAGAATTAATATATCTCGTGAGCGTTATATTTTTAGATATAACGCTTTCAGCTTATTCACAAAATTTTACTCTCTGATTTATGTATTGCCTCGCAGATTTTCCAAATTCAAAATAACTTAATGATCCAACATACCGTATTTACTCTAATAATTACCCTGGGTAATTATTGTTTCGATCTCTCGTTGGAGGGGGTAATTAATAGGGAGGGGAATTATTTGTGAAAGGGCAATTATTATTCCGAACTTTATACAGGGTGCGGCAAATTAAGCGCGCGTTTTGTTTTGGCCATATCTTTCTTTAAAATCAACAAAAATTGATAATTCTTTTTTTATTTAATTCACAACTCTCTGAGAAAATTTTTGGTTCCAAAAATGAGAAATTTGGTCCTCGGGTAGTAAGGATAATCCCGTTAGAACATCTAAAAGCGTCAAAGATATTTTTTATGCCAAATTTTAAATACCCATAACTTCGTTCAAAATAATTCAATCCGAGAGATTTTGGTACCAAACTACTCCTCTCGCTTAGGAGCATCGAAAAAGCTAATAAACTCATTTTTGAAAATTTTACCTAAAAAATTTATATTTGCAAAATTTATTTTATTTTATCAATCAGAGAGTCATATCTCGGTCCATTTACGTGATAACCATCTGATTTTGATGTCATTCGAATCGGATTGAGCTGCGGATTCGAATGATATATAAAGTTCCCATATCAAGCTTTTAGCCTTGAATCTAGTTCCACTTTTTCCCAAAAATTTTTACTCGAAATTTGAAAAAAGATTAATCAAAGTGAATCGTAAAATATAAAGGAGATTTTGGTATCGAAAATTTTCTCAGAGAGTTGTGAATAAAATAAAAAAAGAATTATCAATTTTTGTTGATTTTAAAGGAAGATA